CCGGATTTATGTGGGAAAATGCACAACAGTTTCGGGCTATGAATCTGTTTCTGGAGCACCGGTATTACGGCGAGTCTATACCGTTTGGCAAGTTTGATACAAACCTAACCAAACTTGGTTACCTATCAGTTGATCAGGTATATTGTATTTAAAACTATATAAGCATGTCATTAATAATTAATATTAAAACTAAATAGGCCCTGGCTGATTTCGCAGACTTTATAACACATATCAAGGAGACATATCCCGGCGCCGCTAAAAGTCCAGTCGTTGTGTTTGGGGGAAGTTATGGCGGAATGCTTGCCGCGGCATTCAGACTCAAATACCCGAGTCTGAGTGTAGGGGCACTGGCAGCCAGTGCTCCCATATATGGAGTTCAGGGTATTTATAAAGACTGCGACGGATTCGCTTCCGTTGAAACCAAAGACTTCACACAATATTCTGCAAACTGTTCGCAAACTATACAAAATTCTTGGCCGGTGTTTGACCGAATAGCCAGCACAGTTGACGGTCGCAATTGGCTCACTACAACATTTAATCTGTGCAAACTGCTAAAAGTCCAGTCGTTGTGTTTGGGGGCAGTTATGGGGGAATGCTTGCCGCGGCATTCAGACTCAAATACCCGAGTCTGAGTGTAGGTGCACTGGCAGCCAGTGCTCCCATATATGGAGTGCAGGGTATATATAAAGACTGCGACGGATTCGCTTCCGTTGAAACCAAAGACTTCACACAATATTCTGCAAACTGTTCGCAAACTATACAAAATTCTTGGCCGGCGTTTGACCGAATAGCCGGCACAGTTGACGGTCGCAATTGGCTCACTACAACATTTAATCTGTGCAAACCATTAGAAAAGGGTCAGGGTGCTCTCATAGCTAACTGGATAAACAACGCGTTTGGCAACACAGCAATGGTTGACTACCCAAATGCGGCCACATTTTTGGCTGACTTACCCGCGTATCCCATGCGCGAGATGTGTAAACATCTGACAAATCCCGGCGCTGATGACAAGGGATTGGTACAGCAAATGCAAGCGGCGGCTAATGTTTATTATAACTACACTGGTCATATGAAATGCTCAGATTTAAAACCTTCCACAGGGTTTGTGGATGACTTACCCTGGGGGTTTCAGGTGTGTTCATACAATTGCATGAATATTTATTCTGCAAATATATTATCTCTAATTAAAATGAACTAAAATTTATAAACTTTTAATAAATATGATTGCAGTCGTGCACCGAAATAGTACTTCCCTTCTGTACAAATGGAAAGACAGATATGTTTGAGCCCTCGCCCTTTGACTTCAAGGCAATGTCGGACCAGTGCTATAAGGACTGGGGTGTA